ACGGCATACGTTTCCCACAGAGCAGGTGAAAGTCCATCTCCCATTGGCTTATAACAGGATTAAAGAAACTAAACTCTATGTATACTTATGAGAGGTGGGTGGTCTCCAAGAGCAGTAGAAGCTACCATTCCTTTTATGACACTGACCAAAAATCTGAATTTGAGACAAGCTGGATGCTGAGTAAGTTGTTGTTAGTGTTTTATGAAAGTCTCAGTTCTGTTCATGGAAAAACTGGTCTCTGCCACAGGATCTGCCACTTTATCCTTATTGACAGCTTCAGAGGGGCCAGAGGCAGACGAATTAATTTACATCCCAGGGCAGCTTGCTTCGCTGTACCTGACCTGAGTACAGATTGCAGGCTAGTGCATGGGAAAGGTCCATCCATTTGACATCTATAGAAACTTCATCCGGAAGGAAGGGTCTGTCAAGTAGTACGTATCGTCAGCACCATCTGTTATGCACCTTCCCATGTAGGGATGTCTTAGATGCTATGCCCACCTTCTCCTCCACTACCTCTTGATAAGAGAGAAGGTCTTTGGGGCTTTCAGATTAACCTTCCACTATCCATGTGTTGTATGTTTCCTAAAAGCACTCGGCAGTGAAGTCCTGCTTAGGGAACTCCTAATGTTTAGCTTGTGAAATAAGATGTTTCATTGAACTATATGTTCTTCCAGAAGGGCATAGCTCTGCTCAGAGCAGATTGTTGTGTATAGAAGAGGGAGGCCATGGGGAAGTGGGCTGGCCTTTAAGGCAGATGCTAAAGCACAGAAGCAAGCAGGTAACATGGTGCTCTGCTCGTTTGAGCTGTACATAGTGCTTCTGGAGGATTAAAAGTTATCAGTGTGTTTGGTGTTCAAAGAGGAGGCATCAGCAACCCACATGGTGGTTCTCTTGGATCCCACAATTCAGTCTCTGCAATTTAGTTGGCTACTCATTTACTGAAGAACAGCTTTTAATATTGAGGGGGATATCTCTTCTTTGATATTGCTGAAAAGTTCCGAGTGCGTGTGTGTGTAGGGAGAATAAATGCTTTTTCCTTGCCTTTTTGGGGCTTATAAGAGTAATCAGAAGCAGACATGACAGGTATTCAGCAGAGTGTATCTGAGCTAACTTAATTAACTTACTGGATTCATACACATTGGTGTAATTGAACTGTGGCTCTCTGTACTGTTACACTTAGGCATGTTTCCAAAAATGGTAGGAATTTTAGTGATCAGTAGCTGAAGCCATGAAGCGAGTATTCACATCAGAATTTTTAACTGGGAGCACAAAACATTTTTCTTTTCAATTATGGCACGCTTCATAGACTCAAAACTTTTTTTCTCTGCAGAAGGATGGTTGGCCGGTACTGTTCAGCCTTCTCACCCTTCTAAACAGAGGCAGGAGCCAGTCATGCTTTGTCTAATGCATCAATTTATCACAAGCAAGTGCAAGAATTGTTTTGAATATCAAAATAAATTGCTTACTAGACTTTCTGTGACCCAGTAAAACAGAACTGAGGAGAAAAAAATTCCAAGAAGATTAAAATTCATAATACTCTAGAAAATTAGATTCTGTTGGTGACACCATTTCTTACGAAGTTTAAAACAGAGCTGCTATTTTAGTTGAAGATTTAAAGCTTGCACACTTCTGATTTCCTCTTAAATACAGTGTATTTTCTTTTCCTTAATTGAATCAATTTAATGTAATGTTATTCTTCATATCTACTTAAGCTCAGGAAGCATGAGGTTTTGTATTTCAGTAATGAAGAAAAATGTTCCAGGAGATGTATGAGGTATAGTATAGCAGGGGGAAGATTGATAAGAGTTTAGTAATCTCTCTTGCTTTCTGAAGGGTTGGCATTGTAGTCAGGCTTGCTGTAGAGGCCTCTCTTCTAACAGCTGTATGCCTTGATTTTCATGAAACCACTTGTCATTGCTGTGGCTGAATGGTTTTATTTGTGGGGTCGTGTCCAGATGACTTTTGGTGGATTTTTTTGTTGTTGTGTTACAAAATCAATAATTAACTGCTGGAAAAGCCAGTTGAGTTGTAGACTCTGTTCTGTACTGAATTGGAAGGGGGGAGAGCTTAGTTTTCCAATAAACAGTTCTTCAGTTTTGTTTCGGTAAGGTTGAAGCACTTTCTTTGAGCAACGCGCTTTCATTCCAGAATGAAGGGCTTCAGAAATTTTTTCATCAAGAGTTGATTAAATCGACATTCCTGACAAACATCATGATTTCACTAATTCAGCATTTTCCAGTGGAAAACTATTCCATCAGAAATTTAAACCAGATCTAGTAGCTAGGAACACAGACACCGCCAGATTTTTTTTAGCTTTTTTCTAGTAGCTTCACAAGCATTTAAATAAAATTACTCCTGCTTCTATGTAAGTCCTTATTTTCTTTTGAATTACAAACTGACTTAATGAAAGATTTAATTATTTAGGTGTTGATGCCAGAGCATTCAAGGAAATAACGCACAAATTCAGGCATAAAGCTTTGTAACTCCCACCACGGACAAGATGAGGAAAAGAATTTGGCATTTACCAATGTTGGCAATTGGATTTTAATACTGTTTCAAAATAGATCGAGATTGTGGAGGTTATTTGACCATGTATGCATGTTTTTGAGCAGGCTTAGCTTTAAGCTATATTCTATATGTGTTTGGGGCTAAAGTGAATTAAAGCAAGAAAAAGCGAGTCAGCACTAAAGGACTGGGTGTCTGTATGTTTTGGTCTTATCTATATATTTTCTAAGTAATTTTACTGATTAGTGTTTGGGGATTTCTTTTTAAACAATGAGAGATTTCTCGTTTACTGTAATATGGATTCATTTCTGGAAAAAAAAAAAATGCAAGCAGAGCGGGTACAGTGGCAGCTTAAATAGTGGAGATGAAGGAAATTAGTTCATTTCTAAAAAACAAATATCAAGAGGAAATGCACTTTTGTGCATTTTTGAAAAGCAAGCCCTTATTGCATCAAAGGTAGAGCAGCTACCTAAAAGCTCTTTAAGCTTTAGTTTAATGGTCCATATAATGGGAAACATTAAATTTGCTTTAGCATTTATCCCTCTAGTGTTTCCAAACACAGGTCCCAGTTCTGCCAACACTTCATGGATGTTTAAAGTTTAACTGATGAAGAGTCCCATATATCTGTCACAGGAAAATAACAGAATATTGATTTGGAGGAGCCCTGGGCTAGAAAAGAATTCTTTCCAAATTAAGTTGAAAGTACTTCTGCATACACCTGTGTATGGAGATCAAGGTGGATTTAGGACTGTTAATGTTTTCCTGGGGAAAAAAAAAAGTGAAATACAACAGCGCCCACCACCACTACCACAGGGTCTCCTCTGCTCCAGCATCATAACATGCTTACTTGATTTTAATAGTTCCGGCAATACAATACCAGCATAGGGAATTTGTCAATTGAGAAGAAGGGAAGAGATGGAAAGCGGAACTTTTTAATGGGGTATTTTCTGCCTTAGTGTGGATTGTGAATACTGATGCCACCTGACAGAAGAACTGATTTCAGTAAGTCGAGGGCGATTTTATGTGGTGGACATAATCACTGCATCACTAACAGATGAGTGACACTGCTAGAATACAGCCTGGAATATTTCAGACAGGAGGAAACAGCAGAAAGAGATTTCTTGGGTTCAGAAAGTAGAAGTACTAAAAATACAAGTAATGTTCCTTTGATCGTCTTGCCTCTGATGCAACTGCTAGATGGTTTCCTTTCATTCCATAAAAAGTCATAAGAAAATCAAGACGACCGCTGTTATATTCATTCTTACAGGGTTTTTTATGTTGAAATCCTTTTCCAGGAGATGATAAATGTGGCAGTTTGCACAGCGTTAGGCTGAGAACCTCAAATTACCCCAGTGCCCCCCTTCCCTCCCTTACTTTAGAGGATTCTGCAGCATTTGGCAGAGTATCAAAAACCAATGAAAGCCCTTAAAAATGTCAGTACCTTTGGGGTTGCTAGTGCTAGTATCTAGTAAGGCTGAAAGTGATATAAACAGCACTATTTCCCTGCAGTGTTTTTGTAGCTTATTCTGAAGCACAGACGACTGTTGACTGCTGCCCCGTAGTATCGCATCATGTTCAATTCTTTCCTTCTGTCTTTCAGAGCTCAGTATATTGCCTGCACTCCTGCTGCTTATTCCTGCCCGTTTTCACCCTGCCTTTTGCCCTAGTGTCCTGCTACCTCACACCTACCAGTTCTGTGCGATCAATCATTTTACCTTCCATACTTTAACAAGCCTTGCAAATAAGCAGCTAAATTAATCTTTCTTCGCAGCTGTCCTCTTTCTAGTAATTCCTCTTACTACCTATTAATCAATCCTCAATGCATCCCTCTCCATATTTATTGTTTTGTATCTTCTTTCATTTGTGCTGCTTATCTGATATTAAATTATAACAAGGTAAGGACTTTGCCCGCTTGCTTTGTGTAAGTACATGGTGTGCTCAAAATGTTTAATATTGTGTCTTGCATTAAAATGTGTAAGCTCAAACTGTCTAGAAATACTGATACTAAGAATCTTACTAAGACTAAGGTGACAAATGGAGGGAGACCCCTGTATTTATTCTGGTGTTAGTTTTGTTTGTGCATCTATATCATGCCTATTGTGCTGGAATGGGATTTTAAGGGGTGTTTGTTTGTCATAGGATATATCAGAATAATGATTGGAAACAGTTACATTTTCTCTGGAAACTTTGACAACTGTTTCCTGGCCCTAATTGAAGGGTATTTTTGTATTCTTTGTATTGTGCACCATAGTCCATGATAAGTGGGCAAGTCATATTTAGACTATCTGAAGCTTGTAGGAATTTTTTTCCCCTTCTCATATTGAAGAGTTTCACTCAGAATCCCCCCCCCTTTCTGGTGTCTAATTTGAAGGAATTGA